GGGGTCAGCTGGTGCTTATTATTATTTTTTATCGCATTTCATGCTGACCCAGGGCTCTCATAACCCGCTTGTGACAGTCTGTGGCTCAGCCCTGCTGCAGCCGTTCTCCTTGGATGAAGCATCAATACATCATCAAATTGCTGGTTGGGGATGAAAGGACTTTGTAGACGTGACTGCTTACCGTGTCCACTACCGCATTTTCTCAGGAGGCAAGGCGATGCAGGGGCCAAGGCAGCTCTTTTCTCGAGTTACCAGCCAAAAGGGCTAGTGTCATGCCAAAAGAATGGGGCTGTGGTGGGGAACCAAGCCATTTTTCCACCCCTTACCCTGGAAGAATGCTGCTGAGAGAGCCGGGCAGCCACCGGTGGGATTGGGGGGGGTGTTTTTTATGAGCTGCTTCAGAACCAAGAATCGCTTTCCAAGAAATTCCTCCTTTTAACTCACACCCTGCCAGTGGTTTCCCGAACATCTGTCGAGGTTTAGACGATAGCTGGCAACCATTCGGAGGGTGTGATCTCCCTCCCCCCTCTCCACACACACAGAGCAATGGGTGCTGCTGGGGGTAGGGGTACCACTAGATGAGGAGCAGCAGGGCAGACAGAAACAGACCTTTGAGCGCAGGGTGCAGAAATGGGTCCTGACAGCTGGACACCTAGCGAAGTGAGTGGCTCCCCCTTGGTCCCCCGTCACTGGAGGCCCTTAAACCAAAGCTGGAGAAAGCGGCAGGGACAAACTTCATGTTCAGAAAGAGGAAGGGAAAGCGACTAGGTGTGTTGCTTTTGGCTAGGATTTAGTGGCATCAGTTTTGCAGTCCTGAGTCATGGAGCTGTGATGAGCAAACCAGGGCCTGTTAGAGCTGTGAAAGAGCTGGCTGTGGGGTGAGCGCTGCTGGTTTTCTTCAGCCTTCTCTGGACAGGAGCCATGGAGACCCTGTCAAAGTCCCCAGCACAGAGCAGCCTGAAGTGCTGAGAAGCTCACCACTGAGTTTCGCTCTTTCCTTCATTTCTATCCTTTCTCATTCCTTTGCTGTTCTCTCCTTGGGTTGGGGATCAGAAGCCACATCATGGCTGTTTGGGAAAGGGCATCACGCGCATCACTTTCAGACATGGCTGCGCTTGGTCCCTTCTCCCCCTTTCAGAGGGATGCAGAGAAAGTAGTTCCTTCTCCAGCTTAAATAAGAAGCAGAACGCTATGTTTGCAGAAAGGGGCCTCATACCGAGGGAAGGAGGGAAGAGAGGGAGAGAGCGTGACAAACCCAGGTGCATTTCCCTGCAAATGTTTAGCTAGAGCATTTTACCTTTAAAAATGTCACAACAAGGTAATTCACAGCATGAGACTCCAGATTTTATATCCCCACTAAAAGCCTGGTCCTTGGGGCACTGTTACTGTATGGTGTAGTAGTGGCAGTGCAAGGACGCAGCTGTCCATGGCACAAGTTTTCCTTGCTCATGCTTGGGCAGGAGGCACGAGAGTTGTAGGCACAGGTAATAACTACCTTGGTCAGCTGCTGTCACCGCAGGTCTGTTTAGCTAGGGCGGGTTTTGCACGGCATTCATGAGTGTGCATACATACCCATACATGCGCTGTCTGTGTGCACATCCCCCAGCTACACCCAGCAGAGGTGTGTTTCCTTGCCACAGGAGGCCAGACAAACCTTTGCAGTGTTTGGCCTGATTTTCTGCATCCCGCTGCAGGGGAGAGACTGGGGAAGCTATAGCCCTTTGTACAGAACTGCACAACTCTCTCCAGGGCAGGAAGCTCAAGGTAGACTGCCCATTTCCTAACACCCCTCATCAGAGCAATTGCATTTGGGGATTCTTTTCTCCCTCACCATAAATTTGACACCAGGGCAGCTGGAAAACTCTCATTGCCATGGTTACTGACAGTGCTTGCTGCGGAGAAATGGGCCAAGTGCCAATACGCTCGCTGGGTCTGGGCACTGAACTGGAATCAGCCTTTCCTTGCAATCACATGTACATCTGGTCCCCGGGCATTGACCCAGGAGGGCTGGGACAATTCGGTGTGCATTACACCCATTACAGAATCCCACTGTTAGCTTTGGGCAGAAGCTTAAAGGCTGAATCAATGAAAGGGAGGCTCTGGGGGTGGAAGGGACAACGTGTTGGGGGAAGGAGGCTGCTTCTCTACTGAATTTGGACAGAGAGGGGGAGGCAGTAGTGACAGGCAGGCTGCCAAGCTGCCCTCAGAAATCTGAGTTTGCGGTATGAATATAGCTCCCAGTCACAGACCGTGTCCATCTCCAACTCCCTACCACAGGGCTGTGGGGCACAGCAGGCAATACTACCTCTGTTTTGCAAAGGAAACTCTGAAAGAGAAATGATGTTGGCCACAGTCACCCTTATGAGTCAGTGGCTGAGCTGAAAGCAGAAGAGCTCTTAATCCCCTTGCTCTTGCAATCCTATCACAGTCTCCCTGTCAGGAGTTGGGAAGATAACCCCAAACCCTGCCACTGCAGCCCCAGCTCTTAACACTAGAAGCAGGAACCAAACGCTCCCCTCTAAAGCTGAGAATGAATAGGAAAAGCTCTGGCTCCTGCTGCAACAGAGGAACATGGCTGGGGACAGCTGCACTCACCACAAAAAAGGGCCTTGGAGAAATCCGCACAAGCAGAAACATTTTGAAATTTGGGGATTGGATGCTGCCGTAGTAACCAATCAATAGGTGTGCAGCTGCAAAGGGCAAGTCAGGCCTGATTCTCAAACTGCCGTCTCCTGTCCCAGAAAAGAACGCGAGTAAGGCAAGAAGAACAGCAAACTGGCAGCTCACGACTCATGCTTTCAGGCTCCTGTGGGTCACATGGGTGGAGGATTTTCTCCTTGTTTCATGTTACAATGAATATTGATGTATGACAAAGAGTGGCCCTGAGGGGGGAGAAGCTCTCCCATGAGAAAGGCTCTGTATCCAGCAATTGTCCTAGATGGCTGCTGTGCAGGGAAGTGGACCAAAAATCTGATTCAGCAGGGAAATTCCCAGAGTACTTTGAGCTTGTGGTTAAGATGTGGGACAGAAACCTTGGGGAAAAACTTGTTCACACCAAAGAGGGTGTTTCATTCGTACAGCATCCACCACGTTCTCGCAGATGCAGAGGGAAAGAAGAAGGGAGACGGGAAGGAAAACATCCATCTTTTTATTCCAATGGCAAGAAACAACAACATCCAAACAGTCAAAGTTGAAAAGCAACGGGAACACAGGTTCATGCCAGGCCCTCAGCCTGGTAGAGCTGGCTCCCTTACAGAGTTACAAAAATACAGTCCTACAACAGCATCTAAGAAACACAGAACCAGGTATTGCACAGAACCTCTGCCCTCCACGGGCAGAGCTACAAAACACCCCCTCCGCCTTTGCCTAAAAACAAGCCAGGCTTGGAATTGCACAGCAACTCAGCTCACGCGTGCACACACAGGGGCCAGGCGGGGAGGGGGACAGTGTGTGTTCGAACTACCTGTACAAAAACTAAGGGAACATATAAAACTGGGGGGAAGGTGGGGGGAGGGAGGGGACAAGCTGGGGCTGTAAACGCTTTCAGGTCAGGCTGGGCGTCCTGGCTGGGGGACAGCGGCTTGCACCTTCAAGAAGACAACTGTGTCTTGTCTGTCTGTTGCTAGTGAGCAGCACTGCCGGAAAATTCTGATGCTGCTGGACTATCACAGCCCTAAATGCATTGGGATACCAACATTATTAATTGCTGATACTACTGCTGGATCCCTGATACCAGCCTTTGTGCTCCACTCTGCACTGCCCTGGCCCCAGCTACGCCTCTGCTCCCTGCCACAACTCCCCTGGTCCTCTAGGATAACTCCCTGCCCCCTTGACCAAAAGCCTGAACGGTATTGCAGTTCTCAATGGTATTGTGATACTTTTTTCGTATTGACATTATGAAAGATTTGAAAGTTGTCACCTAATACCACACAGCAGCCACAGCTTGCTGTGAGGACTCGCACCCTGGCTGAGCTCATGATGATGGTGGGGTCCACACAGACCCCATTGGGGCAGCAATGCCCCAGTGTCCTCTCATGGTACCCGACCTGCGAGAAGCAATCTAGACCCGTTTCACAACCGCCTCCCACTTGAACATGCCAAGTAGGTACACAACCCCAGGGCTGTTTGCTCATCTCATGTGCTGGCACCTCTTGATCTCAGAGACTGTTGGTGCTGCAAAAGCTTGTTCCAGGTCTGGTGTGCTAACAGCACACACAGTACGTGCAGCGGAGATGGGCCACGGTGCCCTTGTGCCCTGTGGCAGGTGGTATGTGAAACGCTGTCCCATTGCACACATGCTAACTCTGGGATCCCTGATGCTGTCTTTCTATGCATCCAAATCCCTCTTTCTGCTAAAACCGGAGAGGTCAAGCCAACAGCCTGCCCAGGAAACCTGGGTGAGCTCGCACAGCTTTCCCTGCAAAGCCCTATGTCCAGTTTGGGAGGGGATGGCAGAAGTCACGCTCAGAGTAGGCATATTTACAGGTTAGGGAGGTGGGGGGGGAACTCCTGAGAGCAGCGCTGACCGCAGCGCTGCCTCTCCAGCCGAGTCTCACTCTTAATGTTGTGGGGGAGCTGACGCAGAGAGGGCAGCTGTATCCAAGTCAGGTAACTAGAACGTTAGGGAAATGTAACAGCCTCCATCATTCACCACCGCCCAGGCCAAGTGCAGCTCTCCACCACAGCAATGGCACAGCAGGGTCACAAAGAGAGGCCCAGCAGACAGCCGTGCGCACAGGCTGCCCCCACACAGCCCTCTGAGGGACGGAGCGTCAGGAGGGCTCAGTAGCCTTCCTCCGTGCCATACCTATCCTACGCCAGACCGTGGGCTGTCAGAGCACTGGAAACAACACTAAAAGCAACCAGAAAGGCAGTGGCTGGAAAAAGGGCAGCCCCAGTGCTCAGCCCCAGCTGCTCTGGGGAAAGGTTGGGTGCACGTCCTCAAACATGTCACGGGACATCCTCCTGCCACAAAAGGGCCCCACTAGGGCAACACAGAGACCCAGGGCAGTCCCAGACCAACAGGAGGGAAGAGGAATAAGAGTCATGGTGCTTCTCTTCGGCCAAAGTCTCAGGCTCACAGACCCCACGCGGGCCATCCTGCAGCCTGCCCAGCACTGCCTGTGCCTCCTGCGGCTGTGCTGGGAAGGACAGGAGGAACTGGATATGGGCCTAGCAAAATGTCCAACAGAAGGCAGAACATCGCCTGGGAGAGGGGTCCAAGCAGCAACATCCCACAAGGATTACAGGCAAGAGCCTATGGGGAGACCAGCATCACTCCCATGTGCAAGGGAGACAGAGGGTTTCATCCTTGCCTGCTGCAACAGGCCCGGTAGGAGGGAGCCCATCCACAGCAGGGAACATGGTGGAGGAAGAACAAAGTAGGGACACACAAAGAGCCAGGCTTCAAATCCCAAACACCCACTGTCCTAATAAATAGAGTCCCAGCCCAGCCTAGGGCAGAGCTCTGCTGTCTCCATCTCCTCCGGGACCAGGCAAGATCTAGGGAGGGCTGGGCCAGACTCACAGCTGTGCCAGTTGCCATCCTCTTCTTGTCTTGCCCGAGCTGGCTTGGGCTAAGGCACGCTGAGCACTACACAGCTGTCTCCTGGTCCTCCCGCTGGATCATCTGGTAGTGCTGTCGGTTCTCGAGGTAGGCAGCCAAGTCGGGGTCATTGGCCTTCTCAGCCCTGTGTTTGGGGGTGTCTCCCTGCACGGGGAAGGCAGTGTGTCAGAGCACCGAGTGCTGCCTCGCGGACCACTCTCGGCACCCAAGGACCCCCTTCTCCCCACCAGAGGGTGGCTCCAGTGGGGGCCTGCAGCACCCACAGCCAAGCCCTAAGGCAGGTGATGTGCCAAGGTGGGCGGTAGCGAAGGCATGCTCCAAAGGAGCCTGGCTTTACTAAGAGGCTGGGTATCAGTCCCCTGAAGGGACACCTGCCCCACGTGCAGACCAGGACAGAGACCAGCTCCAGTCTTCCCAGCTTGCCTGCCGCACCAAGAGGAGACAAAGGTCGGTCTCTGTGACCTGCTGCTTCTCCGGCACTGTGGAGGCAGGCAGGAGAGGGTGAGGAATGAGGGGTATGTCTGGGGAATGCCCAGGAATACCAACCCCCCTTCCCTCTCGCAGCCTCACTAGCGCTCCCACTCCCAGAGGGGGATCACATTTCACCAGCTTATTGCAGCCATCTGGACTGTGTCCACTAATGAACTCCCGCACTCCATAAAAAGCAAATCTGTTAACAGCTCTCAGCTACGTCTCCTCTCCCCCTTCCCTCCCCCTGCTCCTTGCTCCTTCTCGTTAAGTGCCTGGGCTCTGCGGTGCTGAATAAACCCTCTGCTGAGAAAGGCCAAGGAAACCTGGCACACTGCTGCTGCCATTGAAAACCAGCCCCAGAAGGAAAGCACGGCTTGCCCAGCTCATCCCGTGGTGCACAGCAGGGCAAGGGTGGCTGCAGCGGGTGGCAAGGGCCTCCAGGACAACCCACAGCTATATTTCTGCAGCACAAACAATGGCCAGAAACATGGAGTCTCCACCATACGTAGATAACAACTGTGGACAAAAGCCTGAGCCCACCCACACATACCGCCACAAAGGCGGAGAGATGCCAAACACACACGGCTGCCCCGTGCAGTCAGGTATGCCATGGGGACAGCGCTGGAACAGGGGGTCTCCCTTTCTCTCATGCTCACACACATAGACAGGAACTCCTAGGGTTACCCCCGTTCTCACGCTGAAGCACACTTTTCCTAAGAAACTTCCTCTTCTACACACACCACGGCCTGGCCATGCCACAGGGGCCCTGTATAGGTCTCCCCTTACCCCCGCACATACAGGCAGGGGGGACGGAG